TGTGAAGGGAGTTGTTGCTCCACTTCCTTTTTCCATGAGTCTGTTGTTGGTGTACAGGAAAGCTGTTGATTTTTTGTGTTTTGACCTTGTATCCAGCGACTCTACTGAATTTGGTTATTAAGTCTATAAGAATTTTGCTGGAGTTCTTGAGGTCTTCTATATAGAGTATCATGTCATCTCCAAATAATGACAATTTGACTTCTTCATTTACTATCTTTATTCCTTTTATTTCTTTCTCTTGTGTAATTGCCGTGGCTAATGTTTCCAAAACTGTATATTGAACAGGAGTGCTGATAATGGACATCCTTGTCTTGTTCTTGATTTTGGTGTGAAGGATTTCAGTTTTTGACCATTTAGTATGATATTGGCTGCTGGTTTTTCATAGATGGCTTTTATCAATTTGAGGTAGACACCATCTATTCCAATTTTTTGTAGGGTTTTTATCATAAATGCATTTGGAATTTGTCAAATGCTTTTTCTGCATCTATTTAGATGAACATATGGTTTTTGTCCTTGGCTCTGTTCATATAGTGTATTACATTTATTGATTTGTGTATGTTGAACCACCCCTGCATCCCTGGGATGAATCCTACTTGGTCAGGGTGTATGATCTTCTTGATGATCTTCTGCATTCTATTTGCCAGTATCTTATCAAGGATTTTTGCATCTATGCTTACTAGTGATATTGGCCTATAGTTCACTTTTTCGGTTGGGTCTTTCTCTCCTTTTGAGATCAAGGTGATGATTGCTTCTAGGAATGAATTTGGGAGTATTGCTTCCCTTTCAATTTCATTGAAGAGTTTAAATAGTAGTGGCAATAGTTCTTGTCTAAATATCTTGTACAATTCAGCAGTGAACCCATCAGAGCATGAACTTTTCTTGCTTGGTAAGTTTTTAGTTACATTTCAATTTTGTGATTGATATTGGGTTGTGTAGAATTTTTAGGTCTTTGTTCAGTTTTGGTAATTCATATGTATCTAGGAATCTGTCCATTTCTTCTGTGTTTTCCATCTTATTGGCACATAGGTTCTCCAAGTAGGTATGGATGAATCTCTGGATTTCTGCTGGGATCATTGTAATTTCACCCTTTTCATTCCTAATTCCATGGATTTGGGTCTTTTCTTTCCTTTTTTTGACAAGATTGGCTGAGGGTTTGTCAATTTTATTTATTCTTTTGAACAACCAACTCTGCTTCATTGATTTTTTGTATCATTCTCTTAGTCTCCATTGCATTGATTTCTGCTCTGATCTTTATAATTTTCTCCCTTGTATGATCTTTGGGTTTGTCCTGCTCTTCTTTTTCTAGAAGCCTGAGGTTCAGCATCAGGTTGTTTAATTGGTCTCGCTCTGTTTTCCTAATACAAGTATTCACTGCTATGAATTTCCCTCGTATGACTGCTTTCATTGTGTCCCATAGATTCTGATATGTTGTATTGTCATTGTCATTTAATTGTAGAAACTTTCTGATTTCTTCTTTAATTTCCTCTGTGACCCATTGGTTAATCAGAAGTGTGTTGTTTAATTTCCATGTGTTTATGAAATTCTTGCAGTTTCTTTTGGCATTGATCTCCAATTTCATCGCACTATGGTCTGATAATATACAGGGGATAACTTCAATTCCTTTGCACTTACTTAAACCCGTTCTATGAGTGAGTATGTGGTCTATTTTGGAGAACGACTTGTGTGCAGCTAAAAAGAATATGTATTCTGATTTTGTGGGGTGGAACACTCGGTAAACATCTGTGAAGTTCATTCGTTCAAAAGTTTGATTGAGTTCTAGTATTACATTGTTTATTTTCTGTCTAGTTGATTTATCTATTTGTGACAGTGGGGTATTGAGGTCCACCACTACTATTGCATTAGTGCTTCTTTGATTTTTCATGTCTTTTAGTATTTTTATATAGTTGGGCATATCAGTATTTGGTGCATATATATTTATGATTATTATCTCTTCCTCTTGTATTTTTCCCTTTACAAGGATGTAGTGTCCTTCTTTGTGCCTCTCAATCAGTGCTGGTTTGAAATCCATTTAATCTGCTAATAGGATAGCTACTCTTGCTTTTTTTCATGTTCCTGTCTCATGGAGTATTGTTTTCCACCCTGTAACTTTCGGTCTATGAGTTTCTTTTTGAATTAATTGTATTTCTTGTATGCAGCATATTGTTGGATCTTGCTTCTTGACTAATTCTGCCAGTCTATTTCTTTTGATAGGTGAATTGAGACCATTAACATAGATTTTTAGAACATATGTATTGACTTGTCCTTGTCATGACATTTTCTTTTTGTTGGATTCTCCCCCTCTGTGTTTAATTACTTGTCATGGCCAATGGATTCATTCTGCTGGTCTTGCTAGCTTTGTGATCCTTGTTGTCTTTTCCTAGGATATTGTCTAAAATTTTTTTGAGTGCTGGTTTGGTATTCATGAAGTTCCTTGGGTACTCTTTGTCATGCAAGTATCTTATTTCTCCATCAGTTTTGAAACATAGTTTTGCAGGGTACATCAATCTGGGTTGGGGGTTGTTTTCCCTTAGGCTTGAAATACATCACTCCAAGCTCTTCTTTCCTTGAGGGTTTGCATTGAGAAGTCTGCTGTGTTTCTGATGGGCTTTCCTTTGTAGGTGATTTGTTTCTTTTCTCTAACTGCTTGTAGGATTTTGTTATTCTGTTGGGTTTCTGGAATCTTAACTGTAGTTTTTTTTTTTTGATCATGACTAATTGGAGTCCTATATGCCTCACTTATCTGTTTGTCATGTTCTTTTCCCCTGCTTAGGAAGTTTTTGCCTTTACTTCTGTGAACAATTTTTTATGTCATTTGCACACTCTCCTGTTTCTTCATTGACTCTGATCAGTCTTATGTTATTCTTCTTTACATCATCTAGTAGCTGCTGGATTGATTTCTTATGGTCCCTTACTATTTTTAAGAGATCTTTCTTTTCCTGGTCATTAATTTCGATCCTGTTATCTATATCTGAAACTCTGTCCTCACACTCGCTCATTCTGCTGCTTAAACTTTCAATGGACTTTTTAATGTCCTGGAAATCTGTTTACATCTGTTTGATGGATTCCATTTGTTTCTTATGTTAGAATTCCATCATGTTCCTCAGCCCCTCTATTTTTTTGTATGTGTTTGCTCTAGATTTAGTAATCATGTCTTGCACTGTGGACACAATCTCTGTTGTTATCTAAGAAATTATTTTTTATTTCATTTTTTTCAGATCCTCTTTTGTTGTCTGTTTTGTTCTTTTGTTGTGGTTCAGTATCAGATTGTTCCATCTCGTTGCCCTTTGAGGTTGTCTTAGGTGATCTGGAAGTCTGATTTTGTGACTTGTTTATGTGTCTTGTTATTTCAACAGATGCAACCTGCTGTGCCTTTGTTGAGGCAACTTTTTGCTCACTCAGTGGTCTTCAATTCTCAGCAAGCCACTGAGTGGCCTTTTCTCTGCTGCTCACCACTGCACCAATTCCTGGGTTCAGAGTGGTGGCCTTCTGGATCCCTGTGCTCTCGTGTTGCTGGGCAGAGTTCTGGCTGGGGCCTGTGCATACTTGGGATGGTATCTAGGTGTGCCTCTGGCTAGAGCTTGCCCTCCTACATAGCTTTTTTTCTGGGAGTGTCTTTGGCTGGGGGCTGTGCACCCCAGTCCCTGGTATCTCGGCAGGCTTCTGGATAGGGTCTGTACACACTTACCACTGGTATTTGGGCAGCCCTCTGGGTGTTGCTTGTGCACCAGTGCAGCTCTTTTCCAGGTGGACCTTTTACTAGGCCTGTGGGCCTAAGAGGCTGGTGTCAGAGTGTAGTAAATTTATTTAGTTTTTCTTAAAAAATCATCAAAACTGATAAACTTTATTTGGCCAAGGTAACTAAAATAAAGACAACAAACCAAATACATCATTTACCATGAATAACCACTCCTATAAACTCCATAGACATACAGAGGGCCATCCAGTTAATGTTATGATTTTATTCTTTGTAATTCACTTAGTAAATTACTTTTCACATCAAGTAAAGGAGAAAAGAGGGGGTGGTGAGGAGAATGGAAGGATTTTTCTTTCCCTTTCAACAATATTAAATATAAGCCAGGATTTTCATTGATAGTGACCATGAGCCAACCTCTTATGTTAATTCTGGATATCAGCCTCCTGTTAATTGTTAACCAAAGCACACATATATGTCATGTGGTTGAGGATGCTTCAGCAGTTGGTTCTCGCTGATTTTTTAGGTAAACCAGATCATAAATTACTGGTCAATAGTGAACTAGATGGCCTTCTCAAGTTCCTTTTAGTCAAATATTTGTGATATTTTTGTATTGTGGAATTTGGATTATATTAGATCACACTTAAAACTAATTCTGTGTCCCAGTCCCAAGATTGCACTACACTCTGAAAAGGATGTCAGAGTCACTTCAATAAAGAGCATTTTGAGGCCTGGGTGAAAAAAAAAAGTAATTCTGTGTAAGAAGTTTTTAGTTTCTTAATCTGTTACAATTTGTCTGTTTATTATTCAGGCTAAATGTAGATATGTTAGCTTAGTGTTAACTCACCAATATTTAGCTGTTTTTTCAAGCTTTCTATGAAGTATTTTTCTACTCTTGTAACTGTCAAGAAGGAATTTAAATTAGGATTATCTTGGTTTACAATGATTCTCCTATTCTCAAGTCTATAGGAGTACATATTAAGTCAGTCTGTGTTTTCCAAAATACTATTATAGGGGCTGGGGGTGTAACTCAGTGGTACAGCTCTTGTCTAGCATGTGCAAGGCCATGGGTTCAATCCCCAGAACAACAACAACAAAACTGAATCACAAGAGTATCAGTGTAATGGACTAATTAACAAAGATTGAGAGGAATTAGATTTTAAGCCTGAATTATTCAGATAGGATAATAGGAAGATAATCTTCATGAAGAGCATCATGAACATTATTAACTCAATATCACATATTGTAGCTTAAAAATTCTACAGAGATATTTCTGTTCTGGTTATTTGGAAACTATGCTCTATTGCAGGCAATATGCAACACTTTGGCTTGAAATGAAAAATCTGAGACAGAAGTATGGTGAGCAACAGCAGGTGTTAACTCAGGTATCAGTTCAGTATTTTTTTAAAGGATTCTTGTCTTTTTCTGTAAATTTTTTATTGGAGCTACTATATGGCATTTTTGGCTTAGACATAAAATGATTACACTATAAAGTCCTATAAAAGCTAAAACAAAAATATATTGATTTTTAGTCATGTATAGTGGGATATCTGAAAATCTTCCTCTTTAGCTATGGATTTCTCCAATTATTGAATATGATATCCTAATTTAAACATTCTCTATGATTTGTTTTTCAGATTCTTCAGTTTATCTTGAGTGGGATAAGTGAGAATCATATAGTAAACAAAAATAGAAAAAGGTAAATTGATTGACTCCAAGTATTTTCTTAGTTACAGAAAGCCACTTTATACTAAAAATCATGTGTCATAATTTTCCTTTTTCCAAGCTCATTCTTATTTTTCAAGCCAGTGCACTTAGTCAGTATATATGAATTGTGTATGCAACATCAGGATGAAAGTGATACCTCCCAAGGAAAATCAAATACATCATCAGCTCAGTATATGTTGCTTTTCCTTTTGTTTTTATATTTTTTAAAATGACAAACTGGGCATAATGTCACATGCCTACAATCCCAGCACTTGAGCGGCTGAGGCAGGAGGATTGCTGCAAGTTCAAAGCCATCCTGAACTATGTAGTGAGAACTTGTCTCACAAAAAAGAAGTGATAAAAGCCTAACTTGGCATGATCATGGTAGATGTGACCTAGTTGCCAGCTCTTGGTTGTAGGTTGATTCTGTCTGTGTCTTTTTTTTTTCATTCATTAATTTTATTGGTACATTTTAGGTATACAATATGCTGACCTTCATCATTGGGAATTTGTACCTTTACATGTTATATCTTGGTTCTTATTTTTTCCCCATTCCCCTGCCCTCCCTTCAACCCCTCCACCACTCCCTATTTACAAAGACTTTTTTTAATTTTTTCCTTCTCTCATATTTATTCCTTTCCCTTCTTTCCTTTCTTCTACCCCTCCCATTACCCCTTCCCCTTTGCACTTTTTCTTTCTATTTCATATTATCTGTTATATATTTTGATTCTTATTTACACTTTTAGTTTCTCACATCAGAGAAACTATTCAGCACTTACACATGTGTGTCCTATTTATTTCACTTAAGAGTATGTCTTCAATGTGCAAACATTTAGTTGTAAGTGTTTCCAGTTTCTAATTCTTTATGGCTGAGTAGTAATCCATTTTATTTTTTAAAAAACACTTTTTCTTTATCCAGTCTCCAGTTGATGAGCAACTGGGCTGTTTCCAAGTTTTACCTATAAAAAACTGTCCTGCTATGAACATGGGTACACATATATCACAGTGGTATGATTCTTTTAATTCTTTTGAGAAGATACCCAGAAAGGGAATAGCTGGGTCAAAAGAGATCTCTAATCCTAGTTTTTTAAGGTATCTCTGTACTGAATTCCAAAGTATTGCACCAGTCTACACTCCCACCACCAGTGGAAAAGGGTTTGTTTTTCCCAACAACCCCATCAGCATTTGTTATTGGTTGATTTCTTGATAGCACCCATTCTTTCTGGGGTGAGATGTAATCTTAGCATTGCTTTTACTTGCATCTCTCAAATGACCAGTGAAGTTGAACATTTTTTCATGTTTGTTTGCTGTTTCTACTTCTTTGTCTGAGAAGTATCTGTTCATTTCAGATGCCCACTTTTGGACTGGGTCTTTAAATTTGGAAGGTCCAATTTTTTAAAGTTTTTTATAGATTCTAGATAATAGGCTTTTGTCTGACAAACAACTGGTAAAATTATTTTCCTACATTGTGGGTTGTCTCTTCACGCTGTTGGTGGCTTCTCTTGCTGTCCAGAAGCTTTTTAATAAGAAGAGATGCCACTTGTTGATTCTTTGTGCTAGCTCACGTTCAACTTTGGTTTTGTTCATGAAAACTTTTCCTATGCCAATGTCTTCAAGAGTACTACCTAACCTCTCTTCCAGCCTGTTTAGTGTTTCTGTTTTAATATTTAGATTTTTAATTCATTTCGACTTTAGTGCATGTGAGAGATATAGTTCTAGTTTTAATCTTTGGCAAGTGGAAACCCAATTTTTCCAGCACCATTTATTAAAGAGGCAAGGTGGATTCTAGGGTTGTCATTGAGAACTAATGTACTGTAGTCGTGTTAAGTACCAGTTATTCTTAGTTTTCTAGTCACCTCTAAGGAGCCAAATGCAACAGGATCCTTTCGTTTTAAAATGAGTGTTCATTTTTTAAAACTTTTACTTATTTATTTATTTATCTGCTGCTGGGGATTGAATCCAGGTCCTTGGATGTGGTGTGCACATGCTGTGCCACTGAGCTAATATCCTTAACCCCTGGATCCCTTTTTATACCTCCCCTGCGATTCTCCTGCAATAAATTGAAAGATATTACTCAACTCCACCTTGTTAAGGAGTCATGGAACTTCTATAGAGATTCTTTATACAAGAGATTAGCCTGACCAGAGAGAATGAAGCCGTTTCACCTATTAATTTCTGATGTAATTAGGAGTTCCCAGCTCCATCTTAGCTGGCCCTTTGCAATCTAAAATTGTAGGATTTTGTCTTAGTCCTTAGAAGAGTATCTAATTATAAAATATTTCTGTAAGATACTATCTAGTTGTACCTCAAGCACAAATTCCTGTGTCATTGGCTTGATTCTTCAGATTTGATTAAGCATTTTACAACCAATAAATCATAATTAATAACTAATGTTATTGAGCATGTACAGAGTACTAAGCCTTATATGGGTTATCTCATTTAATTCTCAGAAAAATTCTATTAGATGGGCTCTAATATTGTCCTCATTTCACAGATGATGTTACCGAATCATGCTGAGTTCAACTACATTATCTAATGTTATATAGTTAATATATAAAAGAGCCAAAATTAAAACCCTTCTGGTGGGAGTCACTGACTCCAGGACTTTGCCTCCCATTTGAGTGGGCCTTCTTCCCACTTTTCAGGCTTTTTGGTAACTTAATTTTGATATAAAATCAACAGAAAATTTTTGAGAATACTACGAAAGACTCCCATATAGCCTTTACCCAGATTCTCTAATTTTAACATTTTGTTCTATCATTTGTCTTCTGTCTCTGTCTCTCTCTTTTTCTCTCTCACCCTACACACACACACACACACACACACACACAAACACACAAACACAATTTTTTTTTCTGAAGCTCTGGAGAGTAAGTTATAGCCATGATGTGCATTTACTCCTAAGTATTTAATGGGTATTTCCAAAGAACAATGACATTTACTTACAAAATTGCTGTACAGTATCAAAATCTGGAAACTTAACATTAACACTATTTTCTAATCTTCAGTTCATACTTTTTTTTTCAGTTTTCTCAGTAATGTTCTTTATTGCCACAATTTCCCATCTCCTGTGTTCTCTGTCTCATACATATACTGCATTTATTTGTTATATCTTAATTTTTTTTTAACCTGGAACAGTTCCTTGGCCTATTTTTGTCTTTCATGACTTCAACATTTTTGAAAGCACAGGTCAGTAATTTTTGTAGAATGTAAAGTGAGGGTACTTTGGGTTTGGCCTACTGTGATGAGTATGACCAGATCATGTTATTTTGGCAGTAATACCAAAAAGTAGTGCCGTGTTCATATCAGAGACACCTGACATCAGTTTTTGCCCTCATTTTTGATGCTAACTTTGATCACTTAAATTAAGGTGGTGTCCCCCAAGTTCACCACTCTTAAGTTGCTGTTTTCCTTTTGTAATTATTATCTTGTGTGTAGTTACAGTAAATCCCTGACTTACAAACATTTGAGTTGCAAAATGTCACAAATATGAATGGATCACACATTACAAATATTCGTAGGTGTGAACAAATTGCTGAAGTAACTCACTTTTCTATCTTACCATTTTAAGGTAACTGTAAAAGTAAAAAGAGTTTATTTTTACTTGTACTGTACAGTACCACCATTTTAACGTAACTAAAAAAGTAAAAAGTTTATTTACAGAATTTGTATGTGTGTTGGTTTTTTTTATGCTTTACATTGTATATTTATGTCAAAGTCTACAAGACTCACTTTGTCAAGCTTATGATCCAATCTGACTTATGAACATTCTCCCAGAATAGAGCTTATTTGCAAGTCTAGGACTTACTGCACTTGAGTCTATTAAATACTGTTCTCAAAAATTTATCCATAAATTTTAGCATTGATTTAGGATTCTTAACATATTACTATGATAGCTAGAGACATTTATAGCTAAATGGATGCACATTGAGGCCATACTCTTAAGTGAAATAAATGCAACACACATGTAAATACCAAATAGTTTCTCTCCTGAAAGCATAAATGAGGACCAAAACGTACAATAGATAATGTGAAATAGAAAGAAAAAGTCCAAAGGGGAAGGAGAAGTGGGGGGCAGGAAAGAAGGGAAAGAAAAAATATGAGAAAAGAAAGAAAAAACAGAAACAAAGGGTTTTTTTTTTTTTGTAAATAGGGAGGGGTGGAGGGTTAGAAGGGAGGAAACGGGAATGGGGAACAAAGAATAACCAAAATATATCATGTATAGGTACAAATTCCCAATGATGAATGTGATCATCATGTATACCTAAAATGTATCAATAAACTTAATGAAAAGCAACATATTACTATGATATTGTTATAATACAGACATTACTTGTTTTTTTACCAAGTTCCATTCCTCCAACTAGGTTGTTAAATGAATTGATCTCTAAATGAGGAATTATATATAGTATGTATATTGCAATATGTATTCAGAACAAATAAATGGTCAAAGAAAACTCTACCTTCATAAGTTTCTTTTTATCTACATAACTCTTACATGTAGCACTGTAATGTATAACAGAGCATAACATTACAGTACTATACTGTACAGTACAATCAGCAAAAATTATAGTACTTTATAAATAAGATGTACTCTACAACAAAAAAAGACATTGAGGCTCTACAAACAAGATGTATAGAACTTTACCAAAAAAAGCATGAGTTGTAAGTCTGAGCAGCAGGTCATAAGTCCAGTGGTTAAACAGGTAGCTTGTTAAACAAGGAATGTCTGTAATAATTTTCTAGTCACATCATTCCTCTACATCTTTAGTTTGCATTCTACTGTAAGGAAGAACATTTCCTTCTCCCTTATTTATTTATGTAAGTATGGAATTGTGGATTCTTATTTTACTCAAAAGACTATAATCCTTACTAGAATATGTCCATTGACAGGGATATCCTCATTACTTTGATATTTACTTTTGGCATAATAGGATATTCTCGATTTAATTTGTGCTTTGCCTGTCCCATCCCTGGAATCAGGCATCCTTCCGAGGAGCCTAGTTTTCCACTTTATTCTTTGCTTTAGTTATAGCTGACCCAGTGTATACTAAAAACAAAAATTTCAAGCACTGAAGCTGAGCATAGTGGTGTGTACTGGTAATCTCAGCACTTGGAAGGATGAAACAGGAAGATCTCCAGTTTGAGGCCAGCCTGAGCTACTCAGTGAGACCCTGTCTGAAAAAGACAGAATGATAATAATAATCTAAGCTTTTGAGATGTCTTTAGGTAGACACAGAAGAAAACTTACATGCAATGATAATATTCTAGATTGCCACTAATTCTACTAAGCTATCATTTGGTTTGCTTTGTTTTCCCTCATTGATGGTGATATCCTAAAACATTTATGCCTAATAGGGCTATTCTGACAAAGGGTGTTTCAAATGAAGTTCCTTACTACAGAGTGGGCTGATCATTGCAACAATAGGATAATTTACAGCAATGAAATCTGGGTGTCATTGCAGGTCATTACCAGTCATATCTGAAGTTTCAGCTTCCAAATGTGCTCGTCCGTATTTCCATATTCCAGAGGAGAAGGAGAAAGAAGCTGTAAGATTCTGAAATAAGATGATGGCTGTGGGTGGGCAACAAAAGCATTTGCTGTCAGTTAAATTTTCAGTTTCTTTTACTATTATTTCTCACATTATTGTTAAATATTCTCAAAGAAAATCATACTGTATATGGTCTGAGAAAGAGTAGATGCATACACAGGTACATAATCAACTATCATTTCCTCTAATCCTCCTATTTAGATGGAGATATTAAAAGATGGTTATGCACTTATTGAAGACAAATATAAAAATCTCCTTGACAGTGATTTACCTACTTTGAAAGATGAATACAAAAACTTAGTTTCATCTGTGGACCAAACAAATGAAGACCATGGGTAAGCAACCTTGTGAGCAATGTTTTGATAAGGAAATATAATATGGTTTGCAGTTATGCTAAAGTATGGCATATATTCTGTTTTTAAATAAACAAAAATGCTTTCCTTCAATTGTGAAAGTAACACTACTGACTTCCTGTCAGTACATTATGCATTTCAGCTTTTTTCTTAATGGCATAATGGTACTGTGGTACCCCCTTATGAATCCCAAAACACTCTGGAAAAATAGTTTGACTTGTGTATAAAATAGTGCAATCTTTGAAGAAATAAGGTATGAAAATATAGCTTACTTAATATACATATATGATCAATGCTTTTGCTACACTTCAGCAATAACCAGTTACAAAATCTTGTAAAAAAATTCTATTCACGAAAACAACAAAAAATTTAATAACAAGTACAGAGGGCCTGTTTGGGGAAAAATATGCCTACAAATTTGAAAGTTTTTATACATGAATATCATTTTCATTGAGACATAATATTCATACATTTGTATATGGTGCACAATGGTATTTTAATACATGTATGTGATCAGCAGTAATCAAATGAGATCAATTAGCAATGGTTAATCATTTCTATTTGTTGGAAATTCCATACTGCTCTAATCATTTTGAAATATATCACAGACTGTTTTAATGAATAGTTATCCTATAGTGCTGTAGAAAACCAAAACTAATTTCTCCTTATAACTATGTTTTGGTGTCTCTTATTTAACCTCTTTCTATCCCCCTTCCCCTACCCTTCCCAGCTTCTCATGATCACCATTTCACTCTATTCTTCTACAACACTGACATTTTAGTTTCTACAAGTGAGCAAGAATGTGTGATATATGTCTTTCTGTGTCTGGCCTATTTTGCTTAATACAATGAATTCCAATTTCATCCATGTTGCTCCAAATGGCAAGATTTCACTTCTTGCCAGGACTGAATAATGTTCAGTGTGTATTTTGTATATACATCATATATTGTCCATCCACTGATGGAAATCTGGATTGATTCCAGATTTCAGCTACTGTGAATAGCATTGCAATAAACTTGAAAGTACAAGTACTTTTAGTAAAATGATCTCATTTTCTTTGAATATATATCAAGCAGAGGAATTGCTGGATCTTATGGTAGTTCTATATTAGTTGTTTGAGGAATCTCCACAATGTTCTGCATAATGGCTATACTAATTTATATTCCTACCAACAGTTTATAGCAGTCCCCTTTTCTCTGCATCCTTGCTAGCATTTATTATTTTTTTGTCTTTTTGATGATAGCCATTATAACTGGAGGGAGATGCTATCTCATTGTGATTTTGATTTGCATGCCTCTAATGATTAGTGAGATAGGGCATTTTTAGTATACTTTTTGGCCATCTTTATATCTTCTTTTAAAAAGTTACTTATTCGGATCTTTAGACAATTTTAAGTGCATTATTTGTGGGGTTTTGTGTATGTATATTTTTGTGTACTAGGGATTGAGCCCAGGCCTTGGACATACTAAGCAAGCACTTTACCACTGAGTTACATCATTATCCCAGTATATACCAGTTTTAAGTGTGTGTCACAAATAAATGGATGCTAAATATCTGAATATCTGTTGGGGAAGGTTACTGGTCTAGACATCCCAGTTTTAGTGATGTCTATCTATTTGGGTAGAAAGAAGACCCAAGTGGAAAATCATTATGTCTGGTGAAGGATGGTAGGAGTTTTAGAAAAGGATATCTGGCAAGGAGACTGTTGGAGGTGAAATTTCCAGTGGAAGATCATGTAGCAAGAAGAATATTATGAATATTAAGAATATTATTAAGATATTTATCTTTTGGAAGTATCCAAAAGGAACCTGAGGTGGCAGTATATTTCAGGAGAGATCAAGTGTTTAAGGGGAAGGTCATTGCAGATATAACCAGGGGTACTCTAGAGCCCACACGTGTAAAGAGAAGGAAGCCATTGAGTCAATTGTGTCTGGAACTGAGGTATGTGAGTAAAACAACAGGAAGCACATAGTTCTGGAGAAGGTGGTATGAATGTATAGACTCAGCCCTTGAACTAAATTTTTGCACAGATATTGTCTCCTGAAGCCAGAAACAAGAAAGTTGTCTATCTGGGTGCGGCCACAGAAGAGTGGCACAAATCTATTCTCTTCCTCATATTCCCTACGTGAACAGAGGTGTGGAACGCTGACAATAGCCACATTTGAAAGACAGAGTATATCAGAGAAGTTTTTTCTAAAGGGAACAGTGATAGAAACATCAGTGAATCTTAGATTTTATGGCATAGAATGTTTTAATTTTAACAAATATTTAAACATCCACACATTAAACCTTAGAAGCTAAATTAAAACTTTAACTTTCAGGGAATCTATAGAGTCACAGATATTTGACAGTCTTCTAAAATATCAAGTCAGAAAGAATATGGAAAAACATGGTAACCCATCCAGCTTAGTTACAAAGTGTGATTGAAAACTATGGTGAATGTTTAAATTTAAAATAATTTGTTACAGTAAAAGACAAACTGTCAATAGTCCCCCTCAAATATTTCCTCCAGCTTGTAGCACATCTATCCCATCATTCTTGCCACTTTGTAAAGCAGTTATGGAAGTCCTCTTTCATGAATGCCTTTCGTTGTGCTATCTTGGCCATCTTGAAGTGCTGAATTGCTTCAAAATGTTTACCTTTCATGGTCATTTCGACTTTGGTAAAGAGCCAGGGGTCACATGGTGCCAGATCCAGTGAATAAGGTGGATGATGACACACTGTAATGTTTTAACAAGACTGCCCTTCCATTGGATGTCACTTAATAGCAGCATTCATCATATTTTTTTTTGTTTCTTAAATTCTTTTATTGGAACATTTCAGACATACAACACAATTACTTTTCTCATTGGGAATTGTACCTTTACATAATGCATCTTGGTTCTTATGTTTTCCCCATTCCTAGCCCTCCCTTCACCCCCTCCACCC